ATACACCCAGCAGCGCTGCTGATGCCTGAACGGTATGTGGAATGAAGTGGGCGGGCATCGGGAGGCCACTATGGCACGGGGCAAGCACTATGGGCAGTCTATCTGAAGTGTACCTGGCGTATAAGACGACCCCCCACTTGGAGGCATATTTTTCAGGGCCAAAAAATTGTCTTATACGCCGGCAAATACGGTACTCCAGTTAGACAATGGAAGGAATCTTAAATGATTTTAAGGCAATAAAAATATTTTTAAATATCCATGGTGGACTTAAAATGACTAGAATAAAAGATGCATGACTGATGCGCCAGAGTTGTAAATTCTCAAATTTTACTAGGATACTGAAATGTTTCAAATCCTAGCCTCAGGAGAGGAAAAAAATGGATGACTGAAATTTATTAATATATGAGAACAATTGTATTAATTATATTAATATTTTGTTGGAAAAAATCATCCTAATTGCATTTTGGGTTCACATATAGTAGATTCTGGACTCCTGCCCAAAAGTGACTGCCTCCTCAGATTAAAAAGAAAACCAAACTGAAGGCTGTTCTCTAAACTTATATGGTTTGCTCTTTTCCAGTTTTCTGTCTGGCCATTTCCCCTCAAATACCCCTGTATATCTGCTTTGGTCTACAGGTCCAAATAGCATTATGTCTAGCTAGTAATATATGTATTAGGTTAAAGGAACCTTATTTAAGTAGAGAAGTATTAATTTATATTGCAATATTGAGAAATATTGGCCTTAATTTTAAGGTCTGTGTTTTTTAAATTCATGATTTTTTAATTCTTAGAGCTTTGTTTTAGGTAAAATGCACGAAAGACAAAATATAAGTAATTTTAAATCCATATTTGAATTGTAATAAGGAAAATTTAACACAAGACATACTTTGAGAGATACACACCAATACTAAAGTGTAAATGCAGAGAAAAGACCTTGAATTCAACCATATCCTTAAGTGGCTTAACTGAGCAGAGAAATAGAGGCTCAGTCAATGGTCCTAGGGCAGCGGTTCTCAACATGTGGGTCGCGACCCCTTTGGGTGTTGAACGACCCTTTCACAGGGGTCGCCTAAGACCATCCTGCATATCAAATATTTACATTATGATTCAGAACAGTAGCAACATTACAGTTATGAAGTAGCAACGAAAATAATTTTATGGTTGGGTCACAACATGAAGAACAGTATTTAAAGGGCCAGAAGGTTGAGAACTACTGGTCCTAGGGTGATGTTCAAATGGTTCTAAACATATGTAAAAGCAGCTTCTTAAGGTTTCCTCAGATTCTCTTGATCTCCTCCCTTGAAGTGAAAAGCAATACCCCAGACTGTAAATAAGTTTAAATTCCAAGGCCAAGATAAAAAAGTTAAAAAAAAAATAATTACAAGAGTGTAGGCCAAACACCGGAACAATTCAGGAACTTAAGACTGTATCTCCTTCAGTCCTTCAGTCCTAAGGAACCAATCTAAAGGAAAGTTTCAAAGATTTTTTTTGTTGTTGTTGTTGTTTTTTATTTTTTTTAAATTATATCTTTATTGTTCAGATTATTACATTAGTTACTCTTTTTTCCCAACATAACTCCCCTCCGCCCAGTTCCCACCCCACCCTCCGCCCTCACTCCCCACCCACTGTCCTCATTCATAGGTGCATGATTTTTGTCCAGTCTCTTCCCGCATTTCACACACCCCTTTT